GCACAACCTTATCGAAATAATCTTAAACGTGAACCATGTGATTATATATTTAATTCATCGATTTCAAAACGTGGTGAATTCTTTTCTTCAACATATCCAGGAACTTATTTACCAGTAAGAATATTTAGATTATTTAATAAGCAAAAAAAAAATTTGTTTTATTTTTAGTGGCAATTTTGTAATTATTCATTTATTGGTTTACCTAGTGAACGTATTCATATTCGTTTTCGTGATTTAATAATTTTTAAAACGCCTAACACTCAACACTGTGCTGTTGATTTAATAAAATTATATGATAATACATTAGATCCACCAGAACTTCGTCGTTTTTTATCGAGCTTTCGACACGTCACTAATCAAGAACATCATGTTGTGTCTGAACAAATAGATCAACATCATATAACAGATCTATGTGGTACATATACATTACCACTTGATGTTTATTCAACAAGCAATCATCTATTACTTTATTTTATTGCAACCCATTACGCTGAATTAACTGATGATGAACAATCACAAGTAAACGATTTTTCAGGGCCATTATGGCGAAAAGGTTTTTATGCTGAATATGAATTTTTATCATCATTAACTAAACTTGATTTTATAACAAAAAATAAATCCAATCAATATTTATCTGGTACTGAATGTGATCAAACAATAAAATCATTTGGTCAAGGACATGGTAAAAGAAAACGATATATATATATATATTGAATTATTGATTTTATTTAGGTAAACTTCAATCACCAAACTGGCCACAGCCCTATAAACCACAAACATCATGTACAACATATTTATTAGGTTTAGATGATCGTTATACATTAGAAAATGTTGAAATTGAATTTGATCATTTTGATATTGATTGTAGTTTAGCTTCATTAGTTATTTATAATGCAAGTAGAATATATGATTATCGTTTACGTACACGTCCACAATCAGCATCAAGTAGTTCTGTATCAACAACAGTTAAAAAATCTTCATTATTTAGTAATTATTATCGACAAGAACTTGATTTTAAAGCAAACCTTTCATTTTGTGGTCATTTTAAACCCGAAGGACGTTTTGTTTCACAAAATGCATTACTTAAATTATCATTTATTCCAAATGATCGTTCTGGAAATAATGTTTTACCATCAATAATAACTGGTGGAAAATTTCAAGCAAGCTATAAATTTGTTAAAAGTTATCATCAAGTATCAGCTGATGAATATGATGGAATAAATCCTACTATTTGTAATCTCTCCTATTATCAATCTCGTACATTATATGGTAAAATAATATAAACAATGATTTGATTTATATTCTTTATATTTTGTAGGAAAATTTGAACCACCACGTTCATCTGAAAATGATTATTTTGCTAATTCAAATTGTACATTTAACTTCTATCCATTAAATGATAATTCACGTTTACTTATTTGGTATGATTATTTTAATATTGCTGATGATGATCTTATACAATGTTCATCAGATAATTTAACATATACATATAATCTCTATTCATCATCATCTGTTTATTTACATCCATTTATTTATTGTGGTTATAGAAATTTTCCATCACCATTTTTAACTATACGTTCAACAGAACATTTTCATGTTCATTTTCGTTCAAATGATGATTCAGAAGCTGGTTTAGGTTTTGAAGGACGTTATCAATTTTTAAATCAATCAAGCCCATATTTTTCATCATTTTGTCGAAGTCCATTTGATTCTGTTGTTTATATAAATGAAACAATTGAACCATCAGGTAATATATCAAGTAATGGTTATCCAGAAAATATTATTTGTGAATGGTCATATGTAACAACACGTGGATATCAATTTATGTTAGAATTAAATATACTTCAAATTGAAGGTTCAAAAACAAAAGATCCACCACAAGGTTGTCAATCATCAATTCTAAGAATTTATAGTGAAGGTCGTATTGATGAATTATGTGGACAACAAGAAACAATTTATTATTTTGTTACTGATTCAAATTGGTTTACAATACAATTTATTTCATTAAATCGACAAACAAAAGAAGCATTACGTGGTTTTCTATTATATTGGACAGTTATACAAACGAAAATGAATATTACTAATAATCAATGTTTATTATCGGATGAATATTTTTATTGTAAAAAAACTTCAAATAGTACAATTTCGAATTTTTGTATTCATAAATCACTTCTATGTGATGATCATGTTCATTGTCAACCATTATCAAATGATGATGAACATCCATCAAATTGTTTTCTATCAACTCCAACACGTTCCAAATATTCATTACCAATGTCATCATCATCATCATTTTTACAACAACATCTTATATTAATTATAATTATTTTTGTTCTATGTATAACTATGTTATGTATTGCTTTAATATTAATATTTTTACTTATTAAAATGAAACGAAGACAACAAGATATGAATTTACCGAAAGAAATCAAGATAAATAAACAAAAACAGCAGCGACGACGACAAAAACAACGTCAAAATCAACAGGATAATTTATCATTACGAAAAAAATCAGTACAAACATATTTAGATGATGATGAAGATAATAATCATGATTTAATTAGTATTAATATGATGGAACAAGCGGTGACTACGGTTTAAAAGAAGAAGAAGAAGAAGAAGAAAAAAACATAATTAGAATCAAAAAGAAAAATATTATTTTATGTTTTTGATATTCCGTCCGATTGCTTTTCTTTTTTTCTTTTTTTTATTGTCACTTTATCTTGTTTATGCAAAAGAGTGTGTTAGAAAGACTGAGAGAGAGAAATAAATATGCCAGGTTAATTCATTCTTTGTAGTAGATATCATGCGTTTGGTTTATCCATTTGAGAAGAAACATTATAACATCCATTAGGAATGTATCTTTCAACAGAAATACATTTGCGTCTGTCGTCGCCATAGAATAAATCTGACTTCATCATTATTAGGTAAAGATATAATTGCGCTAAACGGTTTTTAAGTCTAGCATATACATATGAAATTGTAACATGTTTTAACTACTTCTGTTGATTGAAACTGATATTTAAATCTTTAGAAGAAAAAAATACTTTTTATGAACTACAACATCTTCAATCTGTTATTCTTATCAATTATATCGATAAAGTTTTATATAGAATGTTACAAGATGCTCATTTGTTTCTGTATAATTGCTTATAATGTAATTTTATTCATCTGTATAATTAGATTCGTACAGTGACATGATCGTTCAATTTAATAGTATTATTCATATGAGTCGTACATAATTACATCTAGTTTTTTGTATAAGTAGTTAATGAATGACTACCATTGATAATTATATACAAAAAAAAGAGAATTTTCATTAGTTATACATGAACAAATCGTAGGAAATTATTCTACATAAATTTCTTTAATAAACAAAGCATTTGTTTTCAAAATTGAATGACAAGTATTTATTTGTAACTTACGTCATGTTGTCACTAGAGATAAAACTAATGAAAGATGAATAGAGACTATAAGAAAATAAATCTATCGTAGTTTTATTTCTTCTAGCGATTATTTTTGCAAATCAAATATGTAATTTACTTGTTTTTCTTGCTATATATTCAGAGTATTTCCTTCATTTACATCGTTCTTTTTCACATCTGTCAAGAGTAATATATCAAATGGGAGAAATCTTTGATTCTAGGGTCCCGAAAATGAAGTGTGATAATAATTAAAAACATATTTTAGATGTATTCAAAACAGTGTAAACTTGTATTTCATTTGTTATTGTTGTTATTCGAACATATGTTCAGCGTTTGATCTCAAATTCACAACATCAGAATGCTCTTGATAATATAGAATTACAATCGTATTTACTTATACAATGATTTATTCCAGACTTCCTCTATTTATTTTTTTGAATTTATTAGCAATCTATTTATGATTATTTAGAATGAGTAAAATACAGAATGATTAATGATAAGATAGAGAAAGATAAGTCAAATAATATATGCATTTAAAAATGGCCAACATCCGCAGTTGGACTATCGAGTAATTTAGCATGTACAGCTACTTGTTCGGCTTTACCATGTGTATCTTTTTGCCATGGAACATGATAGACACGAGCTGTTGCATATTTTTTATCAGGTAATTCAACCTAATTTTAATTCAATAATATATATTATATAACATAAAATAAAAATTTTGAAATAATTACTTTAAAAAAATAATTTGCTCCAGCTACAACTTGTGTAGCAACTTGAACTGGTTTCAGTGTAAAAGTTTTAGGTACATGGAATTGATCTTGAATCTTCTTTTCTAAATGTTCTTTATACTAAATATATAATTATTAATTAACAAATATGAAATAAATTATTCTTTTTACCATTTCCCAAATTTTTAAATCATCTTCATTAACTGGTCTAAGACCACCAACACCACCACATACAGGACCTCTTTAATCGAATTAAGATGTCAGAAAATAGATTTGAATTTTTTTAAATCAACTTACGATGGAACTGATGGTTGTTTAGTATCCTGTTTAGGATCTTGTTTAGGATCTTGTTTATTATCGTGACCGGACGACATATTTTCTATATCTGAAATCATCAAAAAATATACACATTTCGTATTAAAATCTTTTAATTCTCTGCTCGTATTGTATACATAAAATTGTCAAATAATTATCGATAATTTTTGTTACTAATAGCTGATTAATTGCTGAGCATGAATAAAAGTTGTAGTTTTCGATTAGTCTCGATAGTATAAGTATAATTGAAATTTAATATTGAACCCTAAAATTTTGAAACATGTGATGAACTATGAATAATAATTTTTATTCTCGTCAAAAGTAAGTCAATACTGAATTTATTCCTTTCCCCTTTTTTTTTTATTTTCTTCGCCCGTCTGTTATCGTATTCATTATTTACCCTCAACTTTTCTCCTTTCTTTCTTTATTAGGAGAAAAAAAATAGACGATGGAATGGTTAAATTTATTGGCAAACCATATTGAAGCATGATGAGAGATGGACCTACAAGTTTCATTTTTTACATTCATACTTACGAATATTTTTAACAGAAAACATGGCATTCTTTCGAAAAAATAAATAATCATTTGGATATTCCATCAAATTATAAGCATTACCTGTTTTTTTGTTTCGTATTGCTCATTAATTCAAAATTAAACTCATCAAGTCTGTTGATAATCCGGTATTTCTTTCTACTAAATAAAAAAAGAAGATAAATTTGGTCGATATCAGCATGTCTTCACAAGATGCAGAAACACTATATATCAAAAAGATCGTTAGTTTTTCTCTCAATGAATCTATATTTAGTAAATAAATGTTGTCTGGGATATTTTATTTATTCATCTTAGCATCGAGATCTTATCTTGTTGATATTACTATATTGATTACATGTAGTGTTCTATTTATTATCATTTCTGATAGTGTTGATAACTGACAATTATCAGGTTAAAAGCTACCACAAATTAGATGATATCGTATGATCATTAAAAATAATTTTCTTTTCTATGTTTATATTGATTATTAATTAAATTTCATTTGTCATCTCAATTCAATGGCAATGTCCTCTTGTGTGTAGTTTATCAAAAATATGTAATAATATATAGTTGATCTCATTGAAATATTTGATTGATTGTTTTATCCAGCCCATGTTATTTCCTTACTTATGTTTCTATAATTATAATACGATGAAAAATGTTATTCACTCTAGAAAATTGATTTTTTGTTTTAGTCTTATCCGTATATATGAGATAACGATAGAAAATAATGAATGTTAACAACGATTAGTATACATACGAAGAGAGAGAAAAATTAGAAGTCTGCTGTAAAAAGTCAAAAGAAATATTCTTAATCAATGAATTATGTTTATTAGATTCCTATGTACAGATAATTTGTTTTTTTTTCATGTCTGTTATTTGTACATTCAGTAAATCATTAGTAGTTCGAATGAAAAATATAATGATTTTTGTACATTACATATTTCCTAATGAGAGCAATTAAGATTTTTGTTTTGACTATAAAATCTTCGTATTGATTATATATTATTATTATTATTTTTATATAGAATAACATTCTTGTAATGTGCACAATAATAATTACGATAAAACTACTATTAAATATCGTATTTCTATTTGTTTCATTATTTAAATAGATAAATATTAAACCAATGATTGAAATGAAAAGTCTTACAAATATATCCGCTAAGAAAATAAAAATTAATTACTTTTAAATTTCAAAAACCATTTATTTGATTTTATTAGAGATTAATTTGTGTTATTAGAAATTATATAGTGATTAAAATATTGTTCATAGACAATAGATGGCGTTCATGTTCAGGTTGATAGATGAATGAAGGGTCTCCCAGAACAATCGCTTGACTTATGGTTTTTTTTTCTTCGACTGAAGAAGAAGTAGAAAGTACAGGTGTCAAAGAAAAAATTAGATTATCTTAAAATATCAAAATGCTTGAATTACAATTAAATCGTGTTGATTATCTCAAAGTATTAAATTGAAATTCTTTATATTTAAATATCCTATATCTATATATATTTCATTAAGACAATCTCATCTGTAACACAGAAATGTATGCGATTATTACCTCGGGATAATGTTAAAAAAGACACTCAAAAAGTATACATATTGTTTTATAATTTTATATAAATTTCGTTTTCTCTAATAGATTGCAATAGGTGAAAGTAATGGTACTGTTCAATTATTTACTGTTCGAAAGAAAGAAACTACTGTAAATTGATTATTCTATTTGTTTAATTTGATACTTATTTAACATTTAATTATTTAGGCTCTTTTTAAAACTACTCCTGGAAAACGTATTTGTCGAGTAGAACTGGGTGGTCGATTAGGTGAAATATCTGATCGAATATTTGTGGCATCAGAAAATGAAGTAAAAGGTTTTTCAAAAAAAGGTAAACAATTCTATACATTTGATACAAATGTCAATGATATGATTCGATGCATGTAAGTCATATAAAACGATGTATGTATTCAATATATTATTTATAATTATTCTTGTAAATAAAAGGAGTATACTTGGTTCAAGTCTTTATACATGTACAGAAACAACATATACACATTATGTTGAATCAAAAGAAGTGGATACATTAACATTCGCAGCAAAATTAAATGATATTGTGGTTTTGCCACTTCCAATTCAATCAATGCCTGTTGTTGCTTGTCAAGATCGATTATTACGACCATTGCATGTAAATTAAAATAAAATTTATTAAATATATGTATATTATATTTTTATAGAAATCATCGGTATTATATGATGCTGAAGTCCCTGGCATTCCTACGACTTTAGTTCTTTCAAATAAAACTGGAGGTAAAATTGAATAGCAAAATCGAAGAACTCAGACGCGATAGGATTATTAATTTATTAGGTCCAACAAAAAGTGAAATTGTATATGGAACATCAGATGGTCGTCTTGGTCAAGTTGAGATTGGCAGGTTTGATTTTAAACATTCCTTTTTTAGTATAATCTTATTTTGATTTTAATATAGTATTTCAGCAAGTACAAAATGGGAAATAGCTAATCCAAAACATTTATCGGGTATAAGTGCAATTGATTTTTTTGATATATTAGCTGATGGTGTGCCCGATATGATTGTTGCACGTGAAGATGGTACTGTTGAAGTATTTAATTTTGAAACAACTGATGAACCTGTTCTAAAATATACTTATGTAAGATATTTGACATAGTTTTAAAAATTTATTGAATTAATTAATGAAAACAGTCTAAGAAATCTAAAAGAGAGTCGTAGTTATTTATATTTGAAAGACTGTTTACAAATGATAACTTACTCGTTTCAATAGGAATATATAATCTATTCTATAAATAATTTATATCTAAATTTTGTTATTAAATAAATTTATAGAATGGTACTGAAAGTATAACTAATATTGAAGGTGGAGTTGTTGGTAATCCAAATTATGATGAATTAATATGTTGTACATATCAAGGTAAAAGATTTTTATTTTTGTATAGTTCAATTTTATTATCGAATTACTTTAGGTTGGTTGTTTGGTTTAACTTCTCAACCATTACAAAATGAATTAGGTGGTGAAGTTGTTATGGTTCAAAATGATGAACTTAAAGGTCGAATAGATGATCTGAAGTAAATTAAATTGATTGCCGAAAAAAACAAAAAATTCAATGAGAAAATTTTTATTTTTAATTTAGAAATGAAGTTGATGAATTGCAAAGAAGATTAACAAAAGAACGTGAACGTTATCAAACTTTAATTCAAACTGATTCACGTGCAATATCAACAATACGTGAATTTCGTGTTAATGATCGATTTCAATTAAATCGTGATGATGCAACATATAATTTAATAATTGAAAGTGAAATACCAATTGATAATATTATTTTACAATGTGATGTTATACTGGATGTACTTGATGTAGAAAAAAATTCAGCTGTTATGAGTTTTAGTGATTGTGATCCAAAAGTAAATACAACTTTTTTTCTTCTATAAGTTTCATTTTTAAAATTTTGAATATAGGATAATAATGCTGTACTGGTTACTTATCGTTGTCAAATGAATACTACACGTTTAGAGATGCATGTACGAACAATAGAAGGTCATTATGGTACATTACAATTATATATAACATCAAAAATTCAACCACGATGTTCAATGCTTCGACGACATACAATTAAGCCATTATCATTACATCAAAGAAGTTCAACTGCAATTGATCCAAACAAGTATAAGAAAAGATTTTGTATTGTAATTTTAAAATAATATATATTTACTTTTTTTAGACGAATGAATGTAATGAAAATAACTGGTTCATTTAGTTATGCAGAAATTCATTCATGGATACAATTTTGTCTTGCTGATGTTCCAGATCGACCACCAGTCGATAAAGAAAATCGATTAATTTACACAAATATATTTTTACAAACACAATTAGAATGTGTATACAAGTAATTATACAAAATCTATTCAGTTGACTCTAGAAACATAGTTAAACAAATATTGCCGAAATCTGTCTGTTATATAATTTTCTTATTGAAGGAAAAATATCATGTCGTATAGTTGAATCGGAGTTTTACATCTATGTTGAATTCTAATTCTGCTTAGTCATATTTTCGTTGAGATTTTTTCGGCTTACTGGCCCTTCACCATTGGCCAAAACATAGGGGGCTTGTTGGCGAAAGTTCAGGCGCGATTTGGCGCAGGTCCAGTGGATTTTCGCCAACTGCAATAACACAAGTTTAGTATAAAATACATCCCTCATCAAATTGAATAACAAGTAGTTCTTAAACAAAAATTACATAATATCAGTGTAGTTCCACGAATACATACAAAATAAAAGATTATTTTTACAAGATTTGAAGTCATGTCAAAATGACTACTGATGTTATTAACTAATTGTTTTTTTTTCGTTTTCTTTTTAGACAAGATGAAGCTGTATTTCGTTCAGAAAATGTTTCAACTATATCAATACTTAAAGATGTAATGAGTAAAAAAGCTACAGAAAAAAAAATTACTCTAAATATTTCTTATGGTAAGAATTAATTTACTTAACACACAATTTTATTTCGTTTTTCTTCTTGTAGAACTAAGTAATGAAACAATAGCATCAACACTTGCTCAAATCCTTCCCATGATTTCCTATTATAAAACATTAACAGATCAATATAATTTAATTGATCCATTAAAAGAATTAGTTATGGATGGATCCACTGATGAAATTTTAACACCTGAACATCGAAAAGTACTTGACAATGCAGATTCTATCCGTGAACATTATAAACAAACACCAGTGCATCTCAATCGTTTATGTAGTATGGTTGCTGATTTATTTATTGACAAACATAAATTTGAAGGTACAAATGTTAAAGCAAAACTTCCAATTTTATTCGACAAACTTAATACAACATTTACTCAACCACAAGTTTTTATTGACTTTTTTAATTCATTATAAAATAGGAAAGTTCATTATTATTATTATTGTATTCGTTGTTGTGAAATATTTTTAAAAACAAGAAGAAATTATATTTCAATCGTTTTTCTTTTGATGAATTTCAAATGTAAATAAAATTCTAATCATTTTCTTGATGGTCTATAGACAATATGTTTAATCATTTGTCTATTTGTTCGATGAAATAATGAAAAAGATGATCGTCGTACAGATCTATTGAAACCAAATGTTAAAATCATTGTTAATGCAAATGATAATGAAGCAAATAATAAAATAATTTTTTGTGCATAAGGAATAACAGTTAAATATAAATGTTCATAAATAAAAAATATTCCACATGGTAAATATGATATAATAAGAACAAGCGTAATAAGAACAATACGTTGTAATGGACATATAACATATATACTTGTTAAACGTCGTTGTCGATGAGATTTCCAATGTTTTTGTATATAATAAATCATACATACATGTAAAATAATAATGAAAATTAATGGAATTCCATATGATAAAATAAATAAATAAATAAAAAATGGTATATTTGAAAATGAGATTTGACAAACAAAACTTCCAGGTTGATAAACAATTTCATTACTTAATATTATAGGTAATAGAAGAAATGGATATATAAACCATTGAATAATAAGTATTTTAATATAGAAATTCATCGAACGAAGAGATGTTTGTTGAGAATAAACAATTGTAATAAAACGATGATATGTTTGAAGACTGAAAATAAAATTTTGTTATTATGAAAAAAACAAAAATAATTTCTTACCAAAGTGAATAATTTAAAGCAATCATTGTTGTTAACATACATATATTTCGTATGACACAATTTCGATCTTGTCGAGCTATACCTGTTATATCACTTTTAATCATATAAAAACTATCCCAAAGAATTGCAAAAGCTAATAATGAACCGCATAAACAAGAATTACTTGAAAGAATATTCATAATTGTACGTAACTTTTTTTTTCGTACAACAAGTAAAACAAATACTGTTCCAATAGAAAAAGTTATTAAATTAAATAAAACAATAAATAAATCATTGATAATATACCAGAAAGGAAAATATTGAGTATGTGATACATTCATTGTTGTTTTGCTTTGATAATAACAATTGTTATTAATGTCAAAATAACGCGTTGACTTATGATTTAAATACTATTTTTCTACTCATTTTCTTTTACATAGAAGAGATCACGCTATATAACTGACTTTAATGAGTCTAGAAATGTTTATCATGTGTAGAAATTAATTTAAAATCTTAGTTAATATGATGCATGTTAAATTTCATTATTTTGTATTTAATTATTTTTTTCAAAACATGATTATATCCGTTATTTCATAGGTTAATGTCCTCAACATCGAGCACGCTAATATCAATTCAATGTTTTTGCATTTAATTATTATCTACTTAAACTAGATTACTCCAGTTATTATTCTGAAATTACTGATGACGTACTATTTCGTTATAATAGGTTAAATAAAATGTATATCTAGTTTCATAGTGAAATATCTTTTTATGCGATACTATACAAGATAAAATCAGTTTAAACTTATTTTATTCTACATATAGGAAGAATAACCGTCTTCAGATCTTTGAGAAATTATATGATTTTTAATCTAATAACTCTATTTTGACTAAAAATTTTAATGATTTCTATCATGTATTCTTTCAAAAACAGGTTTTTTCTTTATTAACGCTTTTTCAAATTTCTTGGTTCAGACTTGGCCCATATATTTGTTTGTTTGGAAGAGCATGTCAAGATGCTGGGAATGAAAGAGTCCTTTTTCTAAGTAAAGCGTTGCTTGTGTTATATTTATATATAAGCACTTGTATCATTAGATACATATTTTATCAAGGTATTCTGGGTCCTTGAACTTTTGATGCCCTTTCTCCTCTTAAAAATAAAGAATTCTGAAAAAAAGGACTTCGACATGTTCTTCCAAACAAACAAAAAAATTTGAATATACAAAATGAGTCTGAACAGAGGAATCTGGGATACTAAATCAGCTATTTTTTATCTTGTTTGGTTCATATCTCTGTCAAACGTCATAGTATCTAGTTGAACAATTCACCATTGCTGTTTCACTATAGCCGCATCGTATGCTAAAAGCTCCGTACCATTTGAACGTATCTAGGCTGAGATCGATTCTTGACGGAAAAGAAGAACCGTAAATAAGCGTCAATTTCAAAGAAATAGTTAGATGTTGTCGTTCAATTAAAACATCTCTTTCATATCTGTTTTTTTCATAGAATATTTAAGAATTCCAAAAATCTCAACATCAAGTGCAGATTAATTATTGTGTATGTTTTCTCTTTTGGTAAAAATCATGAAAACTTCTTCTTGTTTTATTTTAAAATTTAAATTAAAAAGATTGAATAGATATTTTTTGTTATATACCGACATAAATTTCGTCGGTTGGATGTTGTTGTTCTTTTTTTATTTCAATTCTTATTAACCCAAATATACTCGGATACAAAAACAAAAAAAGAATGAAAAGAATTATTTCTCTTTTTTTGGTTTCTTTTCATCTTCAGCTGCTTGTTTGGCCTTCTTTTCACGTTGTCCAATTAATTTAGCATCAGCACGAGCCATACGTAAAGCTTGATAAGCGTTGAATTTAGTATCAGCATCATTAATTGGTCGAGCTTTTTCACGTTGTACTCGTTGTTTGATTGGCATAACTTTTTGTTTCTTAAGTTGTGTAGCCAATTTGATTTCTTCTGGTTTAGAATCGTGTTTTTTAGGTTTATCGGCTTTCAATGGAAACAAAATGAGTTTGCCAAGATATTGTTTCAAACGTTGAACATTAAGCTAATAGAAAGGAAAAAAACAGAAATGTTAATAATCAATTATTCTAATTCTAAATTTAAAAAAAATCATTACTTGGAATGCTTCGGTTGATTTATTACGTCTTCGGTGATCAACTGAAATTCCGATTGTACGAGCATATGTTGGATGAAGACCAGCAGCACGGATTTCGTCCAATGAAAAACCACGGCCAGCACGAACTTTCATATTATAACGACGTGTTGTACCACGAACAACTGGACGTAATGAACCTTTAGCTGGTCGAGGAGCAACACGTTGTGCTTTAGCTAAACGTTTTTGGTGTCGTCGGTTTTTACGGCCGGGTTGATCGAACCATGTGCGAACATGTAATTGCCACTTTTTGTGAAAGTGAGCATTTGGGATAACGTTGTTATGTTTCATTATCTACTTTTCAACTGATCCGATGTCGATCTACAATAAAATAGAAATATATGTATAATATGTATTTATATTTTTTTTTGTGTTAATTAATAAAAATAAAAAATAGTAAAGATAAATCAATGTCCTCAGATCTCATAATCGAAAATCATAAGAGCCCACAACCGTAAGGCGAACAAACTGCTACTTAATTTCAGGAACGAAAAAGAAGATTCGACCTATTTTTGTTTTACACTGAAAAACAAAAATTTATTAAGTAGTTGT